GATGTTGACAAGAAATCAATGCAAATATCCCAGCAGCAGTGGCTGGGGTCCAGGAAAATAACTGTCCATGGATAAGTAGGAGGACAATAAGACTTCATTAAATTTCACTTCCAGGCTAGAAAGGTAGTTGTAAAATCAGGGAATGAAGAACAGACTTTTTAAATGGCCAATGCTTTGTCAGCCTTGTTTTAGTAAAACTTGTATGTATCACATGTTTGTGCCCACAGTGGCACTCACAAATGTTTTATATAAATAGTAGGGTCCCTTGCCGAGCGCATCGACATGACACACTACCTACTGCATACCCATTACTGAAAAATAAGTGGAAAATTAAAACCAACCATCAGTTTCCATTCTGCACATGCATATTTTTGTTGTTGGTTTCTTAAACAAGATGGTTAAAATACTCTTTCTAAACCTCCCCCTCTGCAACCCCACCAATGAACTGGCTTGAATCCAGTCCATCTGACTAAGGCGCCTGTTTAGCAGACATATTTCCCAGTGAAGAAGGTTATAGGAAGGACGTTCCACAGGGCAAGTAAACAGGTGAGGTGCCAGAAGACAGAGCATGTGTGCTGCATTTACGAATTCAAGTAGGTCTTGTAGCACAGAGTGTGCTGGTTTCATCAAAAGGACCAAGATAATATTTCCCATCTGTGGAATTTTAATGAATAAATTCTGTTTATTTATGCTCTCTCTCTTTTTAAAAAGAAATAGGAAAAAACAGCTTAACTTCTTTGTCAATGCCATGTTCTCTCTTTATTTTCAGAAATGTAAGAGCTAAAAAGCATCAGTCTGATGCTTGAAATGCTGACAGCTCAGGCAGAGACTTGGACAATGTCAAAAATCAGAGTAGGGTAAGTTTGGGAGGGAGGTCAGATGGTAGGAGGTTTAACTGCTATAGCAGGACAGGTTAAAAGCAGGAAAGAATCAATGAGGACAAAGAAAAATAAAAGTTCAAAAGAGACAAGTAATCTTGAATAATTCCATTATTTCATGTACAACAGCACATACCTAAAGTGGTTTTAAAAAGCATTTCAGAAGGAGGGTCAAGTTCATCAGCAAGTATCATACTAAATTTAGAATGAGAGATTCAGAACATCTGTGCCCTCTTCCCAGTTCAGACACTAGTTTATTGGATGACTTATTGGGATAAGCACTTCGACTTCTGTTTCTCTGTTATCTCCCCTGAAAAATATATTCCTTTCCTCTTTTGTAAAGCACAGATCTATCCATAGGAAATGACATATAAATGCTAGATACTACTATTGTTATTATTATCATTATTAATGATAATAGTAGTATCTTTTACCTTTTTCAGATGAGAATGCAGATTATGTTTCTCTTTTGTTGTTGTTAGTCTCTTAAATGATCTGGTATAAATATGAGGAGCATCTGTTTCCATCTGCTTTTATTTAAACATCGCAGTAAGTTTTAAAAAGAGCATTTCATCATTCAAAGTTTTTTCACCTGCAACTTCAATGTGACATTTAGGTCAAAGACTCTGACCCAAATGCAGGGACTTTCTCACTCACGACTGCTATAATTGGCCCTGCCCGCTTCTGTGCCTCACCCCTTTCTCAGAGGTCTTGTCCCTGTTGAAGAATCAACTCAGGCTTCCCTGAGATTAATGCTAAACTGCTGCATGTTGCAGCCCAGCAAACAGAGCAAAACCTGCACCAATTTTATGTGGACTGACCAGCTTTTCTAAATGTTTCTATTGTTTTGAGAGCTCTAAAGAAATCCCAGGAAACCTAAAATCTGAATTTAGGCTTCTTAGCTAAATGCTAATGCAAGATCAGATAGAATTAATAAGGCTTAGAACAAAGAAAAGAAATCCAAAGATGGGTAACTTGACTATCAAAAAGTAGAAGAATTGGACTTTTAGCCTTTTTGTATTAAAATATGGAATCTCACTATGAAACTAAGTGTTTGCATATGAAATAGATTGAATGAATCCATCTGTCATCATGAAGCAATTTGCAACAAGTAATCACATTACAAAAATATACTGAGTATGGTGATATGTTAGGACTAAGAGTGATGATTAGACATTAACAATTCCAGACAAATTACATGAAGCACACATTTTTCTAATCAGCAGAGATAACACATTCATCATGATCCACTGAAAGAGATTAATGGATCAGCAACAGAGGGCAATCACTGGAGAAAAAGGGACTGATCATTTTGGTTTGATTTGCTACTGTTGAAGTATGACAGAAGGCCTAATTCAGTTGTCATGCCCTCACGATATTTTCATGGTATTTAAGAAGACATTGACAAGGAAATTGTGGATTATATACAAATACTCCACATATTAGACAGGGGAGACACAATTTTATAGAAAATTTTCTCCATGTGGATTCACTGCATCTAGCCTGGAATCTTGCATATCTCTTCCTAAATGTGTTAGTAAGTTGGAAGAAGTCTAGAGTAATGCAACAAAAATAAGCTTTGGACAGGATGTACTGATGAAAAAGGGAGGAACTGTTACATCAGCTTGCAAATGTCTAGCGGATGGGGATGAATTGTTTAGGGGGCAGGCTGGATGAGAAATAAGAATGATTATCAGAGGAAACTAAGTAAATGATCAGTCATATTTAATATTAGTATATCCAAAGCATAAGTTTTGTAGTAAATATGAAAAGCTCCACATTCACAGGCACGTGCAAATATGTATTTGCATTTCCTCATAGTTTAAAGTAGAGATGTGTGAGAAAAAAGGTAAGATCACAGTTATATGCATTACAATAAACTAGTAAATGGCCATCTGAAAAAAAAGGCAGGAACTTCACGGATACTTTCTTTTTTAAAACAAAGTCTACTATATAACAGGACATAAAAATATCCTGAATTATCCCCTGAGAGATTGGCTGGATATGACCTAAAGGGAGTTTTCCAGCTCTAATGTCTATGATTCACCATATATCATGCTCAGGATTTTCTTACTCCTGGAAACAAAAAGAAAACCAACCAAAAATGACAGTCCTTTTCCATTACTGGTTTCAGTTACCATCCTCATAGCCACAATGTAATTGGATGCTGAATCCACTTACTGAAACACTGAGAGGAAGAAGAGAGTCATTTTGAAAGGCAAATGCTATTCTCAGTTCCACTACTGCAAACTATCAGTGACATTTATTTGCTTAAAATTCTTCTAAACTTCTATTTTTCTAACAGAAAGCAAAATCTGGACCCTCATGATGAAGCCACGGTGGAGACTCCAGATGAGGCCAAAGTCAACCAGAATTTGAGTTTTGTCCCAGTCCTAAAGCAAGCATTGCAGCATGTGCTGGGACATACAAACTGAAATGAGGAGCAGTCACAGACGTTCTTAATAAAAAGCAAGACAATTTGCATCAGATGCCTAACTACTCTAGACTGAAAAAAGAGGAAACTACATCTACTGGATTTTCTGTAACTGATTACGAGTCACTGGCTTGGAAAACAGATCACTGCTCATGAGTCCAGCTCCCATTTGAGAGCACAGTAATACAAGAAAGAGACCTCACTCCATTGTATAATTTGCAGAGTAAGTGGAAGATGGTGTCAGATTTTCCGGGTAACTTTTAATTTTATTTTTAGAGGGCAGATGGGGAAGAAACAGCTCTTACCTGCATTGACCTCACTTATCATTTTGCTACCATTTTCCTCACTAGAGAATGGAAAAAATGCTACAGTGGTGCATAAGCATTTCTGAGGTTTTAAATGTTACACTGTTTATAGAAAAGGACAAGGAGCTTGAACTAGACACACAAGCATTTATTTTTAGTTTAGTTTGTTCAGAATTAATCTGATTTGGATACACTGATATGCTGTCCTGACTGAATTTAAGCCTTATAATCTTGTGAATATTGTCAATATTTGAGTTAATTAATAACAAAAATTATAATTTTTCAGTAGTAGGAAAATTTAACTGGCTTTAGCCACACAGGGAACAATTAAAATCAAGCTTTATTTTCAGTAACACATTTATATTAGATGAGTACAAACAAATTATTTGCTAATCAATTTCAAATTTTTTATGGAGGCACTGACTGCAAATCCAGATGGGACTGTTACAATTATTTAATCTAGTGTCTAACACAAGCAAGAGAATTTCAAATAACACCTTTGCATTAGACACATGATTGTCTGTTTAAGATAGAACATGTCTTTAGGAAAGATGTCTATCTTGACAACAATATCTGTTGATGGAGAACCAGTGAAATCCTCATAAAAGTTTTTTCCAGAGGTAAATTAATGGCTGTCACTTCTTTGAAATTTTTAATATCTCTTTTAATTTTCATGATGACGAAATACTGATTTCAAAGACATGTTAAAGGGAACATTCTGGTTATGTTGTCAGATATTTTAATTGTCTATTATTTTTTTGGCCACTACTGCTGACCACCATTACAGCACGGAGTGTAGGATTCAATCCATCACATGAGAACACACAGAAAACTGAATACTTAGGGTGAGTTTCAGAGCCAGATTCAGTTGCTTACATATAAATGACTAATATACAGGTCTCCACATGTGAGCTGGGTGTCTCAACTCCACTATAATAGTGGAGATCTAGTGAATAGAGTCAGGGGAACTTGTTCAGCTCAGCCTAGAGTACAAAATTATATTTAGTCAGCTGAACAGATTTCAGGTCCACAGACTGAACTGAGCAGGTCCTAGTTTACATACACAGATCTATACAGTAGCCACTTAAATAGAAGTGTGTTAGTCTTATAAACTGACACCCACTCCCAATCAGTTAGAAAACGACACAGGTATCTAAGATTTGAGATGCTGTAGACTACCCAAGTCATTACCAAGGGGTGACAAAGAACCTGGATCCAGAAGGGAGACAACATTCCAACTTTGGGTGTCTAAAACAGCACTAGATGCCTCTGAGTGAGCAACTGAATCAAGACCATAATTTATTAGCTGCTATACTCTCCTCAAGCCAATTTTAAATTTCATTGTTTCCTTTTTAATTAAAATCAGAAGAATGGAAAGCATACCTGACAAACATCATAGTGCTCGAAGAGAGAGAGCAAACCAATATCACTGCGGCTTGTAATACCTTTCAAAATTGTAATATTGCCATTTCCAGAGTCCAGCTCTATCACATTGTTGAAAACATTGGACACAGCTTTGCCAGTCAAAAGCAAGTTCACCAATTCCTGTTTGTGACATGGTAAAAAAAAAAAAAAAAAAAAAAAAAGTAGTTAAACATCTTGTCTCTACTAGACAACACTACAAGACTGATTCGGGATCAATAAAGTTACACGTGTACCAGACCCTTAAATTATGTGGTGGCTTTAACTTTAGGGTTAGGATGAGGATTGCTTATTAAATGTTTTCCAGATATTTTGGGGAAAGTCTACTCCCAAAGTAAAATAAGGAAATATTAGCACAGTTTTCAAAGTTCATCTTTCTAGAGGCAAAATGCTGACAATCAACTTACTCTTACATCCAACTCTTAACCTTCTCATATTATTGTTGGGTTTTTTAATTTAAAACATTTTGGTGTCCCTTTTTCTCTACAATGAAAGCTACAGCATGAATGATATAAATTAAAAGCCTCTATAGTATTATCTGATATTTCTGCATGTGCTTAGTGATGTATTTTGTACATTGGACAAGATTTGTTAAAAGATTTTTTTTCCTCAGATTACTTCTGGATGAACTTAAATCTCATTCAGTAAGACATTCATCCATATGGCTTCACATCTGATCCATATCACTAATGTACTCATACTTACTGTAGCAGATTGTTTATTATTTCTTCCCCAATCGAACTAGAAATACGGGTGTGTCAGAGGCTAAATACATGTGAGACAGTGGGTGTCTGAGCATGTGCACATGTGAGTGTGCATAAAGTTCAAGAAACAGAGACACTAGTCATTTTGTTTAGCATAAGATCCCACGAGGGCCTTCTAGGGTGTAACAGCAAGTAACAATATGTAGCAGCAGACTGCTTACAGCAGTGAACCAGCTAACTATTAATAAATAACATATGTCAAAAAACATGAGGGGAATAACAAGAAGAAAGTTTCCAGAAAAAATAATTCAAATTACTGTGCCCAAAGACATGAATAACACTGGTATTGCCAGTTTGGCACATTGATGTATGCTTTTAAAAATAATGCCCACATTTATAGCCCCATGTTTCTCTGGAAGGACTCTTCAGAGTTTGTAGGTTCTTACCGATGTTTTTAGGATTTCTAATTCACCCATGATGTTCCACCACCTTCTTGAGGAAACATCACATAACACAGTATAAAAGTCCTCCCTCAACAGTACAAGAGAAGAACATGAAGCTTGCCTTTTTTTGGCCAAAGTGGCAGCATATTTAATGGCTGTGCACCATATTCCTATCATCCAACCACATATGTCACAGCTTTGGGGGAATCTGTCTCAGAATTTTGGGATCTACATTCCACCTACATGTCCAAGGCAAAGCATTTCCAACTGAGTGGATGCCTCTGCAGGTCTACAGCCAGCCAGTGGGAGACATTTGGTACAGGACATGAGCTGGAATTTAGACTACACAAAGATGTGGTCCTAGGTGTCAGACAGCAATTCAGACTGCTTGTTTTGAAGCACCAAATGCCTTTTAGACATGTATATCATAAGTCAGCCTGATATACATGCTTGAAGCACCAGTTAGCTTCAGTCAGCATCAGCTCAGTTAGATGGGCAGTGACCACTCGCAGAGGAGCTGTATGACTGGACATGCAACATCAGTTGCCTTTCTGAAATGGCAGGGACAAAACTCAGATTGCAGACTCAGTGGTATTTCAGATCTAACATCAACTAAGGTGTTCAAAAGAGGCAGATGAGAGGAGTATGAGGACATGCACACAAACGCAGAACAGAAAACCAGGCCAAAAAGCAGAGGCTCTGTAAGCAACAAGAATATGTCAAAACACGTTACAAAGAAGAAAGGATGAAAGTGCTTGACATTATGGGGAAAAAGGAAAAACATAAGGAATTTTAAGAATCAGAGGTCAGTTCACAGCTCTGCATGCAGAAGTGTATGACATACCCAAGACTGCACACTTAACTTACCTGAGTACAATAGCCATGGCTGCCAATCAACCTGTTTGTAAGCACATCAAAATCATTGCGCACTCTGAAAAGGAGTGGAGAATACAATTAAATTCAAATACAATTGTTTCTTTTCATTAGATTTAACACCTCTAAATCCGGGGGGGGAAAAACACAAACTGTTTTCCAACCATAAATATAGCTCTTCATTTTGGAACCCTTTCAAGGTAATTTTTTTCATGGAAAAAAAAAATGTGTATGTAACCTGTGGCAAGCAAAGGTTTGTTAAAGCTAGACTAAAGAAAATAGCTGTAGAGGAGAAAAGAATACATTGTCACAACTAGCTAGAACTTTAGAAATTAGAACTACTAGACTACTTGTTTTACGGAGTTACAGAATCACAGAATGTCTGAGGTTGGAAGGGACCCCTGGAGGTCACCTTGGCCAAACTCCTGCTCAAGCAGGGATACTCAGAGCCAGGTGCCCAGGACCATGCCTAGATGTCATTTTGAATATCTCTAAGGAGGTAGACTCCACAACCTGCCAAGGCAACCTATGCCAGTACTCAGATAAGATGTTCTCACAAAGGCATGTATTTGTTATTCCTATCAATACTTTGAATATACCCACAAATTGAAGATGATATAATCTATACACTATATTGTCCATGAAAAGAAGAACAAAAAAAAGAAATTAAAAACCTCTACCTGTGTACACATATCTAATAATACTGTGTGGCCCCTTCTTATATTTTATGACATCAAAGAGAAAAGTATGTGCAATTGCATTATTGATAATTATGGAATAATATCTCCCCAAACTAAGTTCCCTCTCCCATAACTCCTGGAATTATAGAATTAGCAATTGGTTAATGACCCAAAAAATAAAGGCTGTAACTGTGATAATTCTTATACTGCAGACCTTATGTAACTGCAAACATTATTGTATACATAAATAAGTGTCTAATCTAGTTTTGAGAAAAAACAGTGTACTATATTCTGGGACAGCTATGGCAGTGAACTCCACAGATTAATTCTATGGTTCATAAAAAAAGCTATTTCCCTTCAGCATAAAACATGTGAATCTCAATTGTTTTAGCTACATCCTTATTTTGGTATTGTTACAAAGGTAGAGAGAATGCCTGAATGATCATCAATTAAAACTCAGTTATTCTATACACATCTGTACTTCTCACTCGCATTTGACTTGTAAAATCTTCTATGCACCGAAATATTCATGTTTCCTGGCAATTAGCACATTTATTTAAAAAAAAAAAAAAATTTGCTTGTGATAGTTGAACTGATGTGGTTAGAGTAGTGCTAGCTAGAAATTTCCCTTCAACATTGCTATACAAGTTCTGTTAAAAAATTTATTTCTTAAGTAAAAAGCTGGGACATTCCCTGTCTTCATCCCAAACTTTACATGATTATTTTCTCAGGGGATTTCTTTGAATGTCTATGTCAGAATGTAATACATACTTTATAAGATTTACAGCCACAATGATACTTAAAATAATTCAAATCAAGTCATAGCCATTGAATCACAATTCCCTTTTCAAAAAAAATTATTTTAAAGATAATTTTCAAGTTAGTCTCAATCATAACAAAGTGCCACAATAACATCTCTTGCTAGCGTGAAATCAAAGAAGAGTACGGAAAGTGTACCCATGATACAGAAAATTCTCTCATGCAACACTGAAGGAATGGATGAGGTGATAATCATCTTTGGATTTTGGCCATTTTTTAGTTTTAGAAACAGTTTCACTTGAAAACGCCATAGCCTTGTTTGAAATGAGTAGACTATACAATATGCGTCAGTTAGGGACGATGGGACATACGACAAAGACAATAGGAGGAAGTTCTAATTTCATCTGTAGGTACAAACAATATGGGAGTTTAGAGGTGTATCTCAGATTTTCAAGAAGAACATCTGCCTTTCAAATCATCTCTGCTAATGAGGAAACAAACATCAGGCATATAGCTATGAGATTTACACCTATTCTAAATGGTTTTAAGATTATCATTTATACCTGCCAAAGACTTACCATCTACTGTGCAGGTGTATTTACTGTGTTATATTAAAAGGAGTCAGTTTTTAAGTGCAAGTGCACTTCATGCATTGTAAAAGTGTCAGATGACTATAATAATGTGTTTTGTTTTCTGCCAGGCTGTGAAGACATACATTTATGACAAGCAAATCTGAAGCATTTGTTCATTCTGCTGTCTTGGCTATCAGATGTCAAAATAGATATAATGAATAAATCATTACTACCAATATTACTTTGTCCCTACGTGTTATTTTCCATTTATATTTTTAAAATCACTTTAAAACAGAAAACTCCATTAATTTTAAGCCAGAATACTTTTAAGAATCCCCACTGTCATCAGACAATAAAGTAGTCTTGACTCTACTGAATCTCTCCTTTTTGGAATATACCTCATCTCTCTCTCTCTAATTTACAACTCAGTGCTCTGCATGCTGCTTTGACAGAATCACAGGTCAGTAGAAAGACACTACCAAAGAGAACAGTGGTAATCATAAATATTTCCTCCTCATGCAATATTATCAAAATTTTCCAGTATGATGTTAGTACATAAGTCTAACTGGAGAGTGAGCTAGGAGTATGTTGACTGCTGGCACAAAATAGTGGTTTGCCTCACTTGTAAAACTGTAAAGTCTGTGAAAAAAAATGCAATCAGAAAGCAAGATACTGATTTTTAAAATCTTTTGGACAAATACTTAAAATTAAGCATGTTTTAAAATATGGTTAAACTCAGTTTTAAGCAGGAACCATTTCCTGAGTTGATACCTGATCAAAAAGGTGAAAATGAGATCTGCTAAATTTCAGATCAATCTGTAAGATCTCCCAGGTTGATTTTTATTTTTAGTTCTACTATGTGTAAAGTAATGTGGCTTACATGTGTACTGAAACCAGGGAGGAGTGAGTTTGAATTCGCTGTGGATGGAGTAAAGCTGTATCTTCTGCTAAGAAAGAAGCAGCCTGTTGAGATGAGAGATACAGCAGCAAATACACTCAGATCAACATCCTTTCTAATGGGATCAAAGTTATAGTTTCAACTTTTTAGTTTTTTGCCCTGGGACCCCTGAATTGCTGCATTCTGTATTCAGCAGTGCTGGAATTGCTTAGTCCAGCTTTTCTGATAATTTAACAAAAGGTGGATGTGTTTTTTTACATGCTCATAGAAGCTAAATAACATGGCAAAACTCATCTCCACATAGTTAATTTTGTACTATTATTTAAATTTTTTTTTTTTTTTTTTTTTTTTTTTTTTTTCCCCAGAACAGGGTGATCAGTGTGAGTTACCTATATTCTGGGGATTAACTGTCTTTTCATTCAGCATGCAACCAAAGATTTTTTTCTCACATTATTATTGCATAAAATGAATATCATTATGTGGCAAAACCAAAAGATGTGTAAGGTCGCTTCAGACCAGATATCTGCTTTACAGCAACTGCAGAAATCAACAAAATGCATCTCGTGTGAATTATACATATTTTTTCATGTTTTCTAATTCTGCTGATTTTAGTGCAGAAATGCCTGAAATAGCCTTTTAAAAAAATATCATTACATATTAAAAAACTCATTTTCTTTCCATGCTCCTGTTGGTGATTCTGTGTTAGTTTTCAGTCTTGTTGAAATTGTTAGTTATAAATAAAACATTTATTAAGGATGTAAAGTAATAAAATTTTAGATGTTCTGAGCCAAACCTTTGACTGCTCTGAATTGCCACAGACATAACTTGCTGACTACAGGGTAGCCACAACAGTTCTTAGTAGGAATCTGCCTCATGTTTTCAATCAATTCATACATTCTGGGATATAAAATTATAAAAAACAATTCTAAGAGTTTAAGAGAGATGGACAAAAATGCCAGAGTTAGAAGAAACTGTAATGGCAGTATAAACCTAGCAACTGATAAAATAAATTACAGTGATCTGTATGGACTGTACTGAAGTTTTAGAAGTGCATAAATACAAAACCAAAATATAAATATTTTTAGCACTGGATGCTACAATATAACATAATCTGTAATCAGATTAACTTTTTCTTAGCAAATAACACTGAATAAGATAAATAAGACATTTTTAGAATGCTTCATATGCACATTAATTCTCAATTTACTTCTAGGAAATTTCTTGCCAAGTCTTAAATGGAGAACATCTGAGCAATGGATATTAAATACGGAAGTCACATAGAGACTGTAACATTAGGAATAACTCCAGACTATCAAAATGTGACTTAGTTCATGTCAGTTATTTACTCTAGACATTGTTTGGGTTGATAGCAGAACAAAATAAAACAATATAATACACATAATGTTTCATTAAAGTAAGTGCTAGCTGGTTTACAGTCCTTAACTCTGTGTCAAAGCTGTAACAGAAAATTGGTGACCTCACTTTGTTCATGGCAACAGACAGTTATATTAACAAACACACAATTACAAGTCTACTCTGAAAATAGAATTTGGGTTGGGAGGGAGAAAAACTTGTCTTCAAGCGTAAGGATTTCAAATAATTACAATGGGGATGTGGAAAATGACAGGATGGGTGACTGGCTTATTGTGTAAACGTTCCACAATAATTTATTTTTTTTTTTATCTAGCACACTGCGTTTCAAATGAATGTTCAGAAAAGAAGGGAAGAGCCCTTCTGCAAAAAAAAGGAAAAAAAAAAAAAAAGATTGCTGTTTGGGATTCAAACCAGTGAAAGCAAGGAAGTGGCTTCATTCTTTATTTATCAGTTTTTTCATGTACCTGCTAATTTCCCAAAGTTCTTAAAATGTACCTGTACTGAGGTACATTTAATCATCAGCTCTGCTGCTACAGGGTGCTGCCATACTATAGGAAATATTTATATTTCACAAATCATCTGATATGAAAAGTAACTACTCTAATTGCACATTCAACCCACTATTTCATTCTTTAAAATAAATTATCTTTCTTATTGAATGCAGCATGTCTTCCTCAGAGCAACACATTAAGCGAAGATACTAAACCTGGATCTGCTTAACCATGTTGACTTTAAGTTTAGCAAACAGTTGAATAGCACACAGTATGACACTGGC